TATGTGTGTGTGTGTATATATGTGTGTATATATATATGTGTGTATATATATGTGTGTGTGTATGTGTGTATATATATGTGTGTGTGTGTGTATATATATGTGTGTGTGTGCGTGTGTATACGTGTGTATATGTGTGTGTATATATATACACACACACACACATATATATATATATATATATATATATATATATATAGTTCTTGTTTTTTTTTTTTTTTACATTTCTTTTAGTTGGACTCATCTTGAGCCTGCCATGTTTGTAGTGGACTTTATTTCACAAGCGCACACATTTCATTTCACAACATGTATAAACCACGGTCTGCTACACTATTAACAATTTTTTGAGAATAATGATTTTTCCAGAAACATGTTCATCTATTTAACCTATAGCTGGGGGCAGAGATGGATATCTTTTCCATGAGTATTTGTGTGTATGTGAATGTAATGAATCTGACTGGAATTTGAAATCAACTCTTTGACTTATCATTCCCAGTTGATATACATTGAGAGAACTTTATTGTAAAAAAAAAAAATGCTTTTATTTTCTGTTGTTGCTGCAAAGTTTTCAGATCATGCAAATGACTTACTTTGCATTATTATTTTAAATTCAGTTGGTATTGATATAAACCTCTGACTCCTGCCAAGTGTTCTTGTTTCTCTTTTTGCATTTCTTGCCACCCCCACCTGCTATTTTGTTGAAAATGCAGTAAATAATCTTTATGTTGTGACTGCTAGTAAAGGATCAAAGGCAAAACAATGAAACCGATTTTTTCTACAGAACTCTTTGCTCCTACTTCTAATTATAATGCAACACAAGGAATATTTGGTCCAAAGTGTGAATTTTTCTCCTGGGAAATGGCCAATACCATTAGATAAACAAATCAATAAGTATTTACACTATTTACATTGTTCAGACTGTTGTCCTCTTCTTCATTGCCATATTCACAATGTTTTGGCCATTGTATACTTCGGCCTTCTTTAGGTGATTGGAATTTTGAACTGAACCCTTTATTTCATTCACCAGTGTAGAAAACTGGAGCATACAATGGCCAAAATGTCATGACTATGGCAACAAAAATGAGGACAATAGTCCAAACAATGTAAATAGTGTAAATAATTACAATACCTCATCTCAGAAATATAGACAGAAAATCGATAAATGTTCTTTTTCAATAAGAGAATGTTAAGCATGACATTTTGAAACCAGAATGACAATCAGATCTTTAAGAAGAGTATATGTTTGGTATGAATGAGTAAACAAGTACAAAGTAACTAGTACTTTTATAATCTTAATTTCAGTTTCTTTTTATAAGAAGAGTAAGCGTTCTCAAAGCAAATTTGTGGCTTTCACAACACAAAGAAAGAGAATCACTTGTAACACGTCAGGAAAATAACTCACGAACGCCGTAGCCAAAACTGCCCGAATTTTTCCTCTCGAGTCGACAACACCAACTGCTTTTATCGGCAGAACCTATTTTTTCCATTCGTCGACAGCCGGGATAGGATGCTCCGTAATTTGCATATTAATACACTCTTATAGCGACTCCTGCGACGAACTTGTTTCTTTTTCGCTTGGGTTGACGAGGTAAGTCGCTATAAGAGTTTTGCTGACTACTTTTCTTTTTGGCAATCCCTCCCCGGCAGATCGCACACAAAACACGAACTTTTTTCCGGGGTACTTGATTATCTCGTTCACTACATTTCCAAATGGTCATTCTGTGATGATTAGTAACTACATCAAGAATAAATTTTCAGCAACACTTTAATTTGCCTCTCTTTTACATTCGGGAGCCTATCAATGTAAACCAACTGTTCAACAGAATTCTTGTTAGTACTAATATGCCAATTGTATTTCCCAGCTGCAGAGTAGACTCTCCACAAAGTGGCCCACAACTTGTCATGCCTATATATACCCTTTCCACTCAAACTGCACATCTATCTACTTTTTGATTCTCACACAAACCTGGCACATGTCTACCTTTTTGATTTTTCTCATGTAAATTAAGCTGCTGTGTATTTTTTGACTCTCATGCAAACCAGACTGATTTTTGACACTCATACAAATTTAAACTATGACTACCTTTTTTTTTTTACCCTTGTGCAAGCTGGACCCATCTATCCTTTATTGAAACAAGAGAATTCAGAAATGAAATAACCTGAAAATTGTTGACATGTCATAAACAAAACAAAGAAATGGAATATTGTAACTATTTAAACAATTTACATCATCCAGACTCTTGTCCTCATCTTTAATGGTATATTAAAAACGTTTCGGTTGTTGTATGCTTCGGTCTTCAAGTGATATACATTGGAATTTCGAACCGAACTCTTAATTAGTCTAAGGGGTAGATTGTTCTAATTCCATGTGCTATGCCTTATTTGGATGTCACAGTTTTATTTAATTCTCTTTTGTAACTCAACTTGCCAACCTTTTGTTCCCTCTGCTGTGGCCAGGTATTGAACTCACAACTGTTTGGGTCAAGTCACTTTTAGGATTATTTCAGCCAACACATGTATTCATTGGTTTTAGTTTGGTTTTTGTTTTACGGCATATCAACCTCAATGGGTTATTTAATGCCAACAAAATTTTTATTGCTGGTAATGTTTTTCTTCAATTATCTATTTCTGGGAATATTTTTCCTTGAAGAAATCTATAGCTGGTCATATTTTTTTCAAAGAATACATAACTGTTTGTATTGCTGGTATTTTTTTTTTAAGTAATGTTGATAATAATTTTTCCTTCAAAAATTATTGTTGGTAATATTTTTTTTATTACAAAGTATTTCTGGTATTAAAACCTATTTTTACACAATTTTGAGTGTTAACTATTTGCCCATAGCTGGGACCCTAACAGGTGCTACCAACCCGGGTCAGGGTAGACCTGGGAACACCAGCAATTAAGAGGTGGTTCTATGCTCCTCAAAACCTCCAGATCAGAGGCTTTGCTTTTGGACGTAGTTTATCATCTTACCCAGGATAATTGTGATGACAAAGATTAGACATGGCATGTGGAACTAGAACAAGCTACCCCAGTGAGTGAAATAAAAGGTTCAGTTTGACATTACAACCACCTGAAGAAGGCCAGAGCATCCAACAGCCAAAACGTTGTGATAAACATGGTGACAAAGATGAGGACAATAATCCGAATAATGTAAATAATGTACATTATATCTTACCTATAACTTCATTTTACATCAAATGTCTTTAGTAGTTTATAAACTAACCCAGCAGCGATTAACACATACTTTCATACAATTCAAATTCCTTTCTGAAAATATTAATGAGGTGTTAAATATTATCTATGTATAAATATTTACACCATTCCTCAGGCATAACTAATTATATGTAAACACAAACACAATTCAATGATATTTAAACATCACATTTGAGCAAACACATCTCAACAATATTCAAGCAGTAGTTCTGCTCTTTATCAAGATAAATTCACACTGCAGTATTTCCAACTTTACTACAGTTTCTGCTCGCTTTTTTTTCTAAGTATATTTACACAATTATGATGGCAGCAATTGGTCAAATTTCTTTAATGTAAACTTTTATGTCAGATCACCAAATACTACACTAGAGATTGCCAAACACTACATTGGAGTTTCCTTAATAAACCAACCTTAATGATTTAGTGTCCTTGCAAGCTATGAACTGATATCACGCTCCTAGGGAGTGCAAACAACCCTGCTTAAGAACCTAGGGTCATAAGGTTACAGTAGCAGCAACAATGGTATTTCCAGGCCAAGGTAGCCTGAAGGAGGCCAATCATCTCCAGGCTGCTCTTGAATTCAGAGTTTTTCTTTCTACAAGACTGGTTGCTACTCAGTAAATAAACAAAAATAGAAAGGGGTGTAAGAGAAGGATAATGCCTTCTCTTCAGACTTATTCAGGCTTTTCTTTTTAAACTGTAACCCTCTAGGGCAATGATTCTGAAAGTTTTTCCTTGTTCACACACCTTTCAAACCACCAATCAGTTCTCACACCCACTTCAAGAATTAATGGAAAACAGTATTGATCTCATGTGTAAATAACAAAATTATTGAATATAACTTCAGTTTACATCAACTGTCTTTAGTAATTTATAAACTAACCTAGTATTAATTAATGAACACTTTCATAGAATTCAAATTCCTTTCTGAAAATATTAACATGGTGTTAAATATTATCTATGTATAAATATTTACACCATTCCCCAGGCATAAATAATTATATGTAAACACGCACACAATTCAACGATATTTAAACATCATATTTGAGCAAACACATCCCAACAATATTTGAGCTCTTTATCAAAACCAACTTCACACTGCAATGTTTCCAACTTTACCAGTTTTACCAGCAATTTCAGCTTGTTTTTTGTTTTTTTCTAAGTATACATTTACACTATTACGAGGGCAGCAATTGGTCAAATTTCTATAATATAAATTTTTATGTCAGATCACCAAACACTACACTAGAGTTTCCTTAATAAAACAGTGCTAGGCCCTATAAGCCCCACTACTTAAGTCATAGGGGTGTATAATCAAGGAGTTGGTTCCAGGCATCACCAAACATCACCAGACCTCTGCACATCACTGTGTGATGTAGACAGTGGAACAAGAACAGTCTACCCCACTAGATTAAATGAAGTGTTCAGTTCAGAATTCCCTGTAGGTTATGCCAATTGGCATGCACCTGATGAAGAGTGTAGGGCAAAACTAAATGGCATAAAAACTTACATATTTTGTTTTCTTAAAGGATCCACTCCAGTTGATTAGCACTTAATTATACTTGCTTTCTCTCTATTTTGAGATTAAATTTTTATTTTATATCAAATATTTATCAAAAATATGAAAATACAGTTTTGCCATTTTATTTTTGATGGCAAAGTTGTTTTTTTTTTTTTTTTTTTTTTGTAATTGAACAAGTGTGATTAAAACCATTGTCGACAAGCTGAAGGCAAAAAATAGTTTGCCTTCGGATATAATTTAAGAATACAAATACATGGCAAACTTATGATTACCTGTTATTATCAACCAAACAAACAGCCACTGTTTTCTTCAAAAGTTGGACAGAGAATATCTATCTCAGTTCATTATCTATCTATTTATCTTGGTCCTTTCAGTATCTATCTATCTATCTAAGTCTGTTCAGTATCTATCTATCTATCTATCTATCTATTTATCTAAGTCTGTTCAGAAATCTCTCTATCTATCTCTCTATCTATCTATCTATCTATCTCTCTATCTATCTAAGTCTGTTCAGTATCTATCTATCTATCTATCTATCTAGGTCTGTTCAGTATCTATCTATCTATCTATCTATCTATCTATCTATCTAAGTCTGTTCAGTATCTATCTATCTATCTAAGTCTGTTCAGTATCTATCTATCTACTAAGTCTGTTCAGTATCTATCTATCTACTAAGTCTGTTCAGTATCTATCTATCTACTAAGTCTGTTCAGTATCTATCTATCTACTAAGTCTGTTCAGTATCTATCTATCTACTAAGTCTGTTCAGTATCTATCTATCTACTAAGTCTGTTCAGTATCTATCTATCTACTAAGTCTGTTCAGTATCTATCTATCTACTAAGTCTGTTCAGTATCTATCTATCTACTAAGTCTGTTCAGTATCTATCTATCTACTAAGTCTGTTCAGTATCTATCTATCTACTAAGTCTGTTCAGTATCTATCTATCTAAGTCTGTTCAGTATCTATCTATCTATCTATCTAAGTCTGTTCAGTATCTATCTATCTAAGTCTGTTCAGTATCTATCTATCTATCTATCTATCTATCTATCTATCTATCTCAGTTTGTTCATTATCTATCTATTTATCTTAGTCTGTTCAGTATCTATCTATCTATTTATCTTAGTCTGTTCAGCATCTATCTATCTATTTATCTCAGTTTGTTCATTATATATCTATTTATCTCAGTTTGTTCATTATCTAAGTCTGTTCAGTATCTATCTATCTATCTATCTATCTCTCAGTTTTTTCATTATCTATCTTGGTCTGTTCAGTATCTATCTATCTATCTATCTGTATTAGGATAAGAGATAGATCGATTAAAATATCTATACACATGTTGCGATGGTGAAATTGTTGCCATTTTATATTTTAATTTTGCGCATACGTGTTGTTTATTTTTAATTTTGTCAACAGCAACTTATGGTAGGGTCAGTTGGGCACAATCTGTGAGAAAAAGGAGCACCATGACACAATTCATTCTGCCAGAAATTTGGAAATGGCATGCTGTACTGCTTGGCATTCATACTGGGATCTCCAATACAATGATTTCAGAATATTTGGGTGTCATTCTTGGAAAGAGATGGATGAGTCTAATGGTAATTATGATGATACGATAGATTGGAAAAATCACTCTGACTGTTCTGATGAGAAAAGAACCCTCAAATTATTGGTGAAGACTCTACATGGAGGCCTACATAAAGTGCCTTGAGGAGGTAGTTCTGCCCTGGGTCAAGAGGATGGCTGCTGGAAGACCCTTTGTCTGGCAACAGGACTCTGTACCATGCCACACAAACAGAAGAACCCATTTATGGCAGTCAGAAAATTTCTATGACCAGATCTGTCCACCTAACTTACCAAACTGCAAGCCACATGATTATTATGTGTGGGGTGCAATTGAGTAAAAGATCAACAAAACTCCTTGTAACACATCCAGAAGAGTTGTAAAAGATTCTGAAGTTATCTGGTGGCTGTGGTTGAAGCCAATGGCGATTTTATTGAATAAATTTACTCTTTAGGATTTCAAGATATTTTGGGTAATTCTGGTAAGTATCTCTATCTATAAAAGGCAGGATGTGTGTGTGTGTGTGTGTAACGAATGCACAGCCGCAATTTTCGATGGATTTGCACCAAAATTTACATGCACAAGTTAGCGGGAAGGCCAAGACAGACTTTGCATTTCCCAACTCCCACCAATAGTGAAAATAATCGATTTTTTCGTGCTTCTACGGCAGTTTTCATGTAGTTTGCAGCCATTTTCTACTGGCCAGAGTGAGAGCCTATAGCTGGCTACCACGAATAGGCAGGAAGATTCTATTGGCCAGCATGAGAGCCAACAGCTGACTGACACGAAAGTTAACTAGCATGCTAGCATGCAAAAAAAATCAATAGCTGCATTCATCACAAGTGGGAAAAATTTAAATCTGCATGGTACTTTACTCCAATTGGCTCATTCGTTTGCTTAAACTCAACGTTGATTCTGATTCTGCAGAACTGGGTTGGGTGTGAAAAAGTATTTGTTGTTAACATTCTTTTTTCATTCAGTTTTTCCAGTTACGAGTCCTTTTTTAAAGCTGATCGTTTTGTGTTCATTTTGTTTAGTTCTTTTTCCGTAACAGATTTAATGTTTAGTATAGAGCTTAGAAAAAATTTGCAGTGTGAGATAGGCAAGAAGTAAGGCATGTAGTAGCATTAGCACAGCAAAGGGCACTCCTTTAAAGGCAAGGAAGGGCAAAAATATTTTAAGTCAAGTGATAGCGATTGCTGTATGAGTCGTACAATTTTTGAATCAAGCATGGGTGATGCTGCTAGTATCTGTTAAAATGAAATATCATTGCTATTTTCATTTTTGTGTAATTTAGATGACAATTTATCCATCGCATCCTATATATATATATATATATATATATTTTAAGACATTTTATGTTTATACTTTCTTTTTCTAGATACAAATATTTAAGTAAATGCTCTGTTTTATAATAAACAATATTAAACAACATTTGCCGGCCTGAATATCTGAGAAATTTTTCACAGAAAATATTCGTCCTCCGACAGGATTCAAACCCGTATCCTATACGGAACTGTCATTTAGCTTGACATGCCTTTATTGATTTGGCAATGAAGGAGCGTTCGGTTAGCAAGGTCAAATTTATTGCATTTAAACTTCAATCTTCCATGAATCTCTCACGTACATTCATATCTGCTCATGGCGTATCAAATGTAAACAAATGACGTCACACATTATGAAATGGACAAAGTCCGAAAATTATTTTGAGACATTTTTATGTTTAACATTCTTTTTATAGATACAAATATTTAAGTAAATGCTCTGTTTATAATAAACACTATTAAACTATATTTACCAGCCTGAATATCCGAGAAATTTCTATAAATAGAATGTTAAACATAAAAATGTCTTAAAATAATTGTCGGAATTTGTCCATTTCATAATGTGTGATATCGTTCTGATGAGCAGAACATCTCAGTGTTCATGACATAAAAATTATAAACAAAAGGGATAATTAAATTCTCCATCTTCTTCTTATGATTATAATTCTCTGTAGTCTGCATTGAGCTCTACCTGGATTTATATTCTCCTCGGAATTATCCCTTCCAGTCACAAACTGGTAAAACATATATATATATATATATATATATATATATATATATACACACACACACACAAAGGGTACAGAAAGGTTCTTGTCCTAAGAATCTCTTCCTGAAAACTTTCTAATTTGTGCAGAAGTAAATTGAGATACTGGAGTATACTTTTATATATATATATATATATATATATATATATATATGATATAATGATATATAATTTTAATTTTAGATATAAACAAACAGCATTTAGAAATTTAGTATATGGGACACATGTGTAGACCAGCCCAATAAAATTTAGTGGATGTAATGTATCACGAAAATCCTTTTCGTTTTGTCATATTTTTTTAAATATATATATATATATATATATATATGTATATATATGTATGTATGTGAAGATAATGAGACAAAGTGCAAAGCTATAAATGACGCATTTCACTGACTGTCTGCTCCCTCTACCTCCTCCCCACCCTGGTTAGATTGAAACTGTACGTATGGAAAATGTATTGTGATATCTGAGGATAAGTAGGGACCATAAATCAAATTACCTTATCACTAGTTTGTTTGTTTTACATTTTATATATATATATATATATATATAAAAGAGCTGTTTGGTGTCTGTTAGATCATTATATATTTTTCAAACAAACAGGCAAACAGACACTCTCCAGGGTGTGGTCATTGGATGGGATAAGGTAATTTGATTAATAGTCCCCATTGTCTTTCTTTCATTCTAACCTGAAGAAGCCAGGCATCTACTTTAACATGGGTTTCCACAAAATAGTGGTCGGAGAAATAATGTCCGATAAGAAATCCATTGATTCCTGATTACATGTGTGTGTGTGTGTGTATATAAATATAAAAGCGAACATAGAAGTCAAAACTTAGAGGCAACAGTCTGTTTCATGCTATATGCAATCATCAGGCCTGATGATTGCATATAAGTTTTGACTTCTATGTTCACTTTTATATTTACATACAACTCTATCTCTGATATTGAGCACTTTATCCTATAAATATAGCACATCTTATGACTATATTTCTTTATACACTATTATTCAAAATTTTGAGGAATTCCCTGATAATTTGTTAAATTGGCCCCAAATGTAGTTGTTTTGTACTTTAAATAAGAGAACACTATTATACATGGTTAAAAAAAGGTGAGATATGATTTTTTATGAGAAATTTTATTATGATAAAAAAAAAAAAAAGCATTTTATGATTAAATTTTACTCTCGTCAAAATATCCTCCTTTAGCCTTGATTACTGCAACACAAATTTTTGGCATTTGTTGCAAAAGTTTTCCAAAGTATAAGTTTCATAATTGATTCCATTCTTTTTTCAATAAGATGAAGAGCTCTTTTTAGATGCTGCTGCATTGAAATAAGAATGCATCTTTGTAATGAGTATGTTCTTTTTGTCTGTATGTAAAAACTATAATAAATAATTATTGCTCTAATCTTGGTATTGAGCCCACTTTTGAATTAATGCTGTGAACATTAGAATTTATATTATTTTTGTTCTCATTACATTTAGGTATATATATATATATATATATATATATAATTATTTATTTAAAAAATTTATAACATAAACATGTTATAAAATCACTACAAAAATAGCCATTTTGTTTCAACACTCCCAGTGTCTTATCAAGTGATGTTGAATGCAAAAAAAATGGTTTTAAAAGTTTCAAATTAATTGGGTATATATATATATATATATATATATATATATATATATATATATATATACACACACACACACATACAATGTTTTTATTCAGTCTTTCTAAAATTCTTACAGTTTTCCGTTTATGGTATTGAAGAGATTTTAGAAATTGCCCATAGTGATTATTGTCTAATGTACTTTTGGTCAGTTCATTAACACTTTCAAAGGGTCCATTGTTAGTATATTGTCCTCTGTTTTTATTCCCGTTCTCAGTTTTATCAGTATAATATCATTATTATTATAATATCATTATCAGTATAAAAGATTTCAAACTCAAATTTCAAAATTCTTTTAATCAGACTGATCTTGAGTTCTGATCAACACTTTCATGAATTTCAAAATCTTTGAACATTACAAGGCTTCTTACCAGACATTGCTTTCATCTGAGTCAAACCACAACAAATTTCAAACACTTAGATTTCAAAATTTGAAGGATTCTAACATTGAGTTCTTAACACTTTTAATGGATTTCAAAACTGGAATCACTAAGGATTTTTACCAGACATTGCTTTCATCTTAGTCATAACACAAAAGATTTCAAACTCAGATATCAAAATCCTTTGGCTTTAGACTAATATTGATTTCTTATCAACACTTTTCAAAGATTTCAAAACTTAGAACATGCTAAAACCTCTCTCCTAACATTGTTTTAATTCAAATCATAGCACAAAGGATTTCAAACACTTACATTTCAAAATTCTCACAAGCAACTCAACATTCTGTTAAGAATACTATTTTTTTCATCTTCGTTTCATGTAAGTATTACTTTAACTGAGATCTCAAACTTCTCTGTCACTAGTCTTTATCAAGATCCAGTCTCAGTAGTGATAACAGCATTTAAATGCAGGTGTCAGGCTCCATAAAATGTGAATTGGTTAAAAAATAAAAAAAATAAAAAATTTCCCATGTGCTTTGCCATTTGCACTTCATACATTCATTTTATTATTTCCTCTAGTTTCATGAAAGCGCTTATGTCAAAAGAAAAAAAAAACTGATGGCTTCTGGAGCCTGTTTGTAATTGCTTTCTGATTATAAGATATGAAATAAGCAAAGAGATAAATTGGAAAAGAAAAATGGAGAATCTTGCTACACTGAAGAGTTAGGAGTACAGCTGCAATTTAAAATCCATTAGTTTCTATCCTTTTGTCTACAGCTGCAAATTGAATATTACTTCCTATTATTAAAAAAAGCAATACTGTTGTCAACAAAAGAGACAGCCCAGAATGTGAGTTGTGTATTGGGGATGTCATAAGCAATCAGCTACTGAATTTGAACCATTTGAGTAATGTAGTATCAGATGCTAGAAAATATGATATCTATCTATCTATCTAAGTCTGTTCAGTATCTATCTATCTATCTATCTATCTATCTATCTATCTCAGTCTGTTCAGTATCTATCTATCTATCTATCTATCTCAGTCTGTTCAGTATCTATCTATCTATCTATCTATCTATCTATCTATCTATCTATCTATCTATCTATCTATCTATCTCAGTCTGTTCAGTATCTATCTATCTATCTATCTATCTCAGTCTGTTCAGTATCTATCTATCTAACTATCTATCTCAGTCTGTTCAGTATCTATCTATCTAACTATCTATCTCAGTCTGTTCAGTATCTATTTATCCCGGTCTGTTCAGTATCTATTTATCCCGGTCTGTTCAGTATCTATCTATCTATCTATCTATCTATCTATCTCAGTCTGTTCAGTATCTATCTATCAGTAAATGCTGTTTCATGCTATATGCAATCATCAGGCCTGACGATTGCATATAGCATGAAACAGACTGTCGCCTCTAAGTTTTGACTTCTATGTTCACTTTTATATTTACATACGCTCTATCTCTGATATTGAGCACTTTATCCTATAAATATAGCACATCTTATGACTATATTTCTTTATACACTATTATTCAAAATTTTGAGGAATTCCCTGATAATTTGTTAAATTGGCCCCAAAAGTAGTTGTTTTGTACTTTAAATAAGAGAACACTATTATACATGGTTAAAAAAGGTGAGATATGATTTTTTATGAGAAATTTTATTATGATAAAAAGAAAAAAAGCATTTTATGATTAAATTTTACTCTCGTCAAAATATCCTCCTTTAGCCTTGATTACTGCAACACAAATTTTTGGCATTTGTTGCAAAAGTTTTCCAAAGTATAAGTTTCATAATTGATTCCATTCTTTTTTCAATAAGATGAAGAGCTCTTTTTAGATGCTGCTGCATTGAAATAAGAATGCATCTTTGTAATGAGTATGTAGTATCAGATGCTAGAAAATATGATACTGATATCCAGAGACACATATCAACAGTGAAAATTGCCTTCCAGAATCTAAGAAAAGTATTAAGAGATAGGAAAACAGTCATATAATGTCATATAGGAATAAAGTGTCACTGCTGACAGTTGGGTTTGAACACAGATCACCAGAGAGCAAGCACAGTCAACCTCGTTTTGAAATAATTACATCACGTGATGTGAAGGGAAAATATATATATGGGAACTAGCAGTGTCTGATCGAGTATTGTTCGAAGGTATTACTATTATTGTATCTGTGATTTACAAAGTGTCTCCTACAACTGGGCATTACAAAAGTGGTGACGAGTATTCATTGAACTTAGACGAGGAAAAAATAAAAGATACATACCCTACAAATCGTAATAAGATATCCAGTAGTACTTATCCCTTCACCAAAGAGACGTCATATTTGCAGGACCACAGAGAAATAACCAGACATAGTTATTCAAAACTTAATCTACAAAATATTCAGTGGAGTACAGCAAAATGGAAGAACTAAAAGCTATCATGATTCAAATGTTGGCACTACAAAAGCAACAACAAGAACAACAATTGTAGCAACAAAAACTACAAGAACAACAATTGCAGTAACAAAAACAACAACATTAACAGCAATTATAATTACAACAACAGAAGTTTTTTTAATTATTTACTATAACTATGAAAGGAAAGACTTCAGATTCATTCACCCCAGATGATGTTGCTTATTCAATCAGTGAATTTGTATAGATTATGGATGAAGGGATTAATTTTCCAACTTATTATAGAAGATACAAAGGGATCCTCAAAAGGGATTGTTTACATTTAAATTATGAAAAGAAAGTTCATTTATTATTAAGGAAATTCTCCCCTGCTGAACATTAAAAATATATCAATTATATTTTGCCAAAAAAAGCAGGTGAGATGAATTTTGATGAAACTGTTCTAATTCTATCAAAATTTTTTGGTGATAGGAGCTCATTATTTAATACACGATGACAATGTTTTAACTTAGTAAAGTGTGACAATGAAGATTTTGACATTTATGCAGGAGTCATGAATTCAGAATGTGAGAAGTTCAAGTTGAATGAATTGATTCTGGATTTATTTAAATACCTAATATTCATTCAGGGTTTAACTTTTAACAAGGATGTGGAAATAAAATCCAGGATACTTGCTAAATTGGAAATGGATCCCAAATTACCTCTCCAGAAAATAGTGGAAGAGTTTCAATGTATTGTAAGTCTAAAACTAGATATTGCAAGGATTGAGGAAAAGACATTTCACAGGTGCATAGCATCTGACCATCTAAGAGAAAAGACTGTTTTTCAATTCCTAACAGAACATTAAAAAAGATGATAAACCCAGCCTCAATACCTAATACTTACTGTGATTGTGGAGGTAAGCATTTCAAAAGTAATTGTTTTTTCAAGAACAAAAAATGTTACAAATGTGGGAGGGTAGGACACAAAAGTATGTGTTGCAGATACAAGACATGGTGAAAAAAGAGTAAACCCAGTTTATTGACTTCTTCTAAAGAGAGATAAATTTTGATGGAACTGTTCTTATACTAGCAACACTTTTTGGTGATAGGAGTTCATTATTTAATACACGATGACAATGTTTTAACTTAGTAAAGTTCGACGATGAAGATTTTGTCACTTATGCAGGAGTCATGAATTGAGAATGTGAGAAGTTCAAGTTAAATGAATTAACTCTGGATTTATTTAAATTCCTAATATTCATACAGGGTTTAAAGTCTAATAAGGATGTGCAAATAAGATCCAGGATACTTGCTAAATTAGAAATGGATCGCAAATTAACTCTCCAAAAATAGTGGAAGAGTGTCAACATATTGTAAATCTAAAACTCGATACCACATGGCTTGAGGAAAGAGACACATCACGAGTACATAGCATCCATCTAAGAGAAAAGACTGTAGATGTTTTTCAATTCCTAAGAGAACAGTAAAAAAGGATGATAAACCTCGCCTCAATACCTAATACTCACCAGGGTTGTGGAGGTAAGCATTTCAAAACGAATTGTTTTTTTCAAGAACAAAAAATGCTATGAATATGGAAGGGTAGGACACAAAAGTACTTGTTGCAGATACAAAAATGGAGAAAAAAATAAAATGTGTGTGAATATGATAAATACATTGAGTAAAGATTAGAAGCCTAAAAGGAAAATTAACAAGACTTCAAATGTGTCTTTAAGTGAGTTAAAAACATCTCAGAAAAGAAAAATTGTTTTTTGTGAAAATTAATAATGTAAAAATAATATTACGACTGGATACAGGATCAGATATCATTATCATAAAAGAACAGACATGGAGAAAAATGGGTAAACATAGTTTATTGACTTCTAATAAAATTGCGCATAGAATTTCAGGAAAGAGATTAAACTTCTTTGCGTGAATTCACCTGTAACATTTCTTTTGTTGGAAAAACCAAGAAAGTGGTGGTGTTTATATTAAAGAATACTGCTAATTTATTTGGAAGAGACTGGATTGCATTATTTGATCTTTGGGACCTTCCAATTAACTCTTTTTGCAAAGAAATAAATATTGTTACCTCTGGTGCTAACACAGCAACTAAAAAATTAAAGAATGAATTGAAAAAGAGTTTTCCAGAAGTTTTCTCAGAAGGTCTAGGGACATGCACAAAAACTAAAGCAAAATTTGAATTAAAAGAGAATGTAACACTGACATTTAAGCCAAAAACGAGTGTACCTTTTGCAGTTTTAGAACCAATTAATAAGGAATTAGACAGACTAGAAAAATTAGATGTGATCTCAAAAATAGACTATTCCAAATGGGCACTAAAAAGTTGGAGGGTGAGGAGTCAGATGAAGTAATGTCTGAAATGTCACCTGTAGAGTTAATGTTTGCCAGGAAGATTAAGTCCATTTTTAATAAATTATTACCAGAACATAAGGCAAGAACATCAAGAAATAACAATATAAATAAATACTTCAAACCTGGAGATAAGAAATTTTGTTTAAAATGTATCAATGTGGAAAAGAATTATGGGAAGACTAGCAGTAGAGCCCAGCGTTGCCCAGGGATGTAACAGTAAGAAATAGATCAAGTATCGACCATCATAAAGACTGAAAAATATAATTGACAAAGATTATTGTTTCAAGGTTGACGGACAGGCATGTCTTAATTAGTTTGTGTTGTTTTACAAATTGGTCAAACCCAAACTCAAACAAAAACATTATTTTCAATCGTTATGAGTCTATCGATTGAATAGAATTTTATTATAAACAATTGTCTTGTAAATGGAATTTTTAAAGCATTCTGAATGTAAAAATAAAGAAAAAAGTGTGCAAGACAATAAGAAACACTACCTGCCAAAAAAAAAGTGAAGTTATGTTGAAATCGGTTGAAAAATGTAGGAAATCCGATCCCATATATAAATGAACACACACACAAACAACCTGGGTTTTATAAGTATAACTTGATATGAGTTGTCCCCCTTTCATTCTGGCGACAGAATCGTGTTTTATCATGTTTCAAATTGATTTCGTGCAAAAACAATTGTGTTTTTCTAATTTTTGGCACTGTCACAACCACCACAAGGTAATTTTACGCAGTCCTGTGAAGTTCTGTTGAAATCGGTTGAAAAATGTAGGAAATCCGATCCAATATATAAACGTACAGACACACACACACACGCACACAATCTGCATTTTATAATAAGTAAGATGGCGTTATAAAAAAAATGTATCTGCAAAATGACATATATTGTACAGTGACAAAGGTGGGAACATAAGCAACAGTTACAATGCGGAGTCTGTCTATATTTCTGAGATGAGGTATTATATACATTATTTACATTATTCAGACTATTGTCCTCATCTTTGTCGCCATATTTATCACAACGTTTCGGCCATTGTATGCTCCGGCCTTCTTCAGGTGGTTGGAATGTTGAACTGAACCCTTTATTTCGCTCACTGGTGTAGACTGTTCTAGTTCCACGTGTTATGTTTAGTGGATGTCAGTTATCAGTTATCTCCTGTTAATTTCCCTCTCCAAGTTCTCCACTGCCTTAATCGGGTATTGAACTCACACTCTTTGGGTCCTGTCACTGGATCTAACCAACGCCTTTATCCACTGTGCCATGTGTTCTCGAGGACATCCATTAAAGATGGCATGTGGAACTAGAACAGTCTACCCCAGTGAGCAAAATAAAGAGTTCAGTTCAACATTCCAACCACCTGAAGAAGGTCGGAGCATACAATGGCTGAAACGTTGTAATAAATATGGCGACAAAGATGAGGACATTAGCCCGAATAATGTAAATAATGTAGTTAAAATGCAGATTCACTGATTTAAAAGTCCCCAAAAAGAGGTACCTATAGAAAATTTGTATGACACCTTTGGCATACCCATGCCATCACAAATTGTTGAACCCAGGCTTTATGGTAAGAGAAAAAGAATAGTAACAGAATTTCTAAATATTGAACCGAAGCTGAAGAAATATTGACACCAGAGGAAGTCATCTTAAAGGGGAGGTAAGGATAAAGTGTCGTTTTTGACACCTGGGTTTGAACACAGATTGTCGACCTCATCTTGAAATAATTAGATCACATGACAGGTAAAGGAAGAATATATATATATATATATATATATATATATATATATGAATTAGCAGTGTCTGACCGAGTACTGTTCGAAGGCATTACTATTATTGTATCTGTGATTTACAAAGTCTCTCCTACAAACAGGCATTACAAAATATACAAAGGAAAGAATGCTGTTCTGCCATGTATCATCTAATCTTCAGTACAGTAGTGGATATTTAACAATCTCATCCCCTTTGTAACTTTTCCCCTTTGTATTCCTTTAGTAAAGAGGAAGTTTCAATCAGACAAGTTCTTCCGCAGAACCGTTACTTTGTGAAACAGATTCCTGAAAGTATGCTTCCCTGATCACCACAACCTTAACCTCTTCAAGTCTGGGGTCAAACATTGTCTAACCTAACTATCCTCATATTATACATAATTGTTACAATGTGGAACAGACTCCATAAAATATACTTACTTGATCACCACAACCTTAACATCTTCAATTTTAGAGTCAACCATTACCTAACCAACATATCAACATAATAGATACTTCTTAACTGCTTCTTTTACACCTCCACAACAACTTCATTCAGTAACCATCTACCTCGAGTGGCTCTTGGGCCTTGTATTAGGTGAACAATAGTATAAAAATGTACAGATGTGGATATGTGAGCAACATGAAATTTTTCTGGAAAATGGAAACTGATACTTACAATAAAAATAAGATATCTGAAATTTCTAGAATACAAAATAAGAAAGAGAGTTTGGAGAATCTAACACTCACAAGGCATATTAAAAGCAAGTGGAGTAAAGGATGTAACCTATTGAAGGATTTTGCTTGAATGAATGGCAGAACAAAGACATATGGTAAAGTTACACAAACCAACAAAATATAGGAAGTTGTGGAGAGCTATTATCATCCATTTAACGAATTTCTGTATTTGGGTGACAAAACAAATGGTAAAGAGTTAAAAGACACTTAATGCAACAAAAGGTAGAACATTGGGGAGAGCCATGATTATCCACTAAAAGTTGTGTGAATGCATAGAACAAGGACAAAGAGGGATGGCCAAAAGTCAAAAGTTATTTAAATCAACAAAAGACTGAAAGTTGTGGAGAGCCATGATCATCCCTTTAACAAAATTGTGTAAATGGATGGTAAAATCAAGACAAAGAGGAATTGTTAAGAGTCAAATGTTACTTCGAGCAGCAAAAATTTGGAAGCTGGGGAGAGTCATGATCTATATCCAAAAAAGGATTTTTTCTTCCATAAAGTATTTCCTTTATTTTTTTTTTTGATTTCTTATGCAAAAAATACTCATGATGAAAGTTTGAAACAGAAAATTCCATCATTAAATTTCTTGTTATTCTTCTAAGACGCACAGAGACTGACATTTTTTTCCTTTCTATCCACACTTCTTTTTGCAATATTTCACCTCAGTTGCTTTGATAATTTACCTGAAGCTACATTATTACTCAGACTATTATTGTAAAAAACAAAATGACCTCATGCAAGTTTCTTCTTAAATTGCAAGATTCGTCTGTATTTCCAACCTCTTACGCCATTAGTGCCTAGCCTACTTACCAAAACTGAAAATGGAGTCCTGCTGCCTTGATAGAATCCAAAAATATCTCCATGTCTTCTTATTTTCTGTCCTACAGCTCATTTCCCACAGATAAAATGCTGCAAGCCCCTGGCTGCTTTATTGCTATTTCCATGGAAAGTGTTGAGTCAAACTACATTCATTAATTCCACCAGTTCTAAGCTTTACAGTTAAGACCCATCATGCCCCACACATTGTAGTGAACTAGCCTCATTCTCTTCTTATTCCATTGATGAGATGTTTTGTTACACATCAGGAGATCCTTCCCATGAACCACTACCTTGTGAGAACCAATTCCCAAGAGGATGCTTCCGCGATCATTTCAGTTGTGTTATCCGTTATCTTCCTCACATATCCCCATGAACTGTGCCTCTTACTCTGTAACATTCTACCTCGAGTGGCTCTTGGGCCTTGTACAGGTGAGCATTATCGTAAAAAAAAAATGTCATGCTTCTTCTCACTAAGCAGCCAACCTCATCTGCATCACTAACTTATCAGTCTCCAAGCATCTGTGTCCCTGACTTATTTCCAAGTGTCTCATGCCAATGTTGCACTATGTAGCCAACCTCATCTGTGTCCCTAACTCATCAGCTTTCTTACAAAGCAGTTCATAAAAGTTCCTTACCAAATGGTCAACCCCATCTGTATTCCAAAAAGTGTCCCTCAACAGAATTTCACCAACTAGACTAATACAAACATCTATCTCTGATTTAATAGTGTCTAACTTTTTTCTCGAGTACCTCATGCGAGTGTTTCACCATGTAGCCAACCCCAATGTGTGTCCCTAACTTACTCTTGTCTAGCCCTCTAATCAAGAACCTCATGCCAGTGTTTCACCATGTAGCCAACTCCATCTGTGTCACAAATCCATCAGTAAGTTCTTATGAAGTACCACATGACAGTGTCTTGCCAAGTAGCCTGACCCTAAAATCTATCACCATAATATCAGTATCCAGGTTTCTTACTGATTTGTTGGACCCATTTGTATTCAAAAACTTGTCTAACCAAGTAGTCAACTACATTTGTTGCAAACTTATGAGTGTTTGGCCTTCATATCAAGTTGCTCGCACTGTTCTGATAAAGTGTCTTTTTTGCCACAGTGTTTTATTTTTCCTGTTTCCTCTCAACCCATATTATTGCTTACACTTTTAGCTTTTACTCTACCTTTCCAATCAGCTATGCAACCCTGCCATATTGCATTTCTGCATATATCAGTCAGTATCAGTCACCATGACTAGATCTATTTGACGCCTGCAACAAATATATAATAAATAGCTATAAATACGTAGACTTGGTGCATGTGTCAAATTTGTTATGCACTGTTTGTACATTCAAGGTACCATAAAGTGTTATTACTGTTTTCTAAAATAAATGACAAATTTTCACCAGGAGTAACACTTACTTTAGTTTTGTTTTTCAGAAATCTGGTTGATCTTTCAAATTTAGAAGCTTTTAACCATCACCTCTCAATGTCACCTGATAAGAACTTTTTAACTTTTGACTCCCATCTCCCCCCCTCCCACCGAAGGTGATTATTTATTACCAGACAAAAAAGAATAACAGCTAATATTGTTTTGTTTTAAATATTTTGTTTTATTTAAGAAAAAAAAAATTCTTTCGAGCATCTCTGTAAAGGTTCCAAGTAATTTTGAAGAATTTTTAAAATTTAGTGTGTTGTAAATTTTGTTGTTGCTTTTTTTGTTTATTTGTTTATCAGTGCTTTTTTATGTTTTTTTTTATTTTTTGTTCAAACTGTTTTCTCTTTTAACACATTCTACATTCAGATAAACAATTTTCAAATTTGAATTGTTATTTTTCTCTATTCTCTTTCTCTCTTGTTTTTGTTTTGTTGACACTTTTTGTGGAGTCTGCATTGCTCTCTCTCTCTCTCACTCTGTTTTTTTTGCTTGCAACTTCATTGTCTTCTTTCTTTCTTTCCTCTTTCTCAGAATGTTTGATTCTTCCTATCACTCTCTCTCTCTCTCTGCTACACACTTTCTCTCTCTCTTTTTACTTTCCTCTTCCTCCTCTCTCTTTTCTTTTCACTTCTCCTTTTGTCTCTATCACTTTCTCTTTTTCAGTCACTCTCTTTTCTCTTCTCTTTCCCTCAGCCCTTCTGTTCCTGTCTTTCCATTGATCTTCTCTTTTCCTATTTCTTACTTGATCTCTGCTTTTTTCTTTCATTCATTCATTCTTTCTTTCTTTCATTCTTTCTTTCTTTCATTCTTTCTTTCTTTCATTCTTTCTTTCTTTCTTTCTTTCACTCATTCTTTCTTTCACTCATTCTTTCTTTCACTCATTCTTTCTTTCACTCATTCATTCATTCTTTCATTCATTCTTTCTTTCATTCATTCTTTCTTTCATTCATTCTTTCATTCATTCATTCTTTCATTCTTTCATTCATTCTTTCTTTCATTCTTTCTTTCATTCATTCTTTCTTTCCTTCTTTCATTCATTCATTCATTCATTCTTTCATTCTTTCCTTCTTTCTGTCATTCATTCTTTCATTCTCTCTCTCTCTCAATTTCCATTTCTACTCTCTGCTTTTTCTCTTTTCCCCCCACTTTCTGTTTTGCCTTTTCCTTTTCTCTCTCTCTCTCTCTCTATTTTTCTCTATCTCTCTGCTCTTTCTTTTTACTCTTTCTTGTTCTTACCTTTTATATTTTTTATACTTTTTCTATCTTCATTTTAATATTCTTTTTTAACCAGTTTAAAGTCAAGATACCTCTGAAAAGAATGTCTTTTCTCTCCCTCATTTGTTATTAAATACAGTCAAATGGAGGCCTGTGTTGATTTATAGCTCCAATAACATGAAGCTACAATTGTTATCCATAATTCTCTCTTCTCATGCAAAATGCAAAATCCAACTGTCTGCCAAAAATGGAGAGTCTTGTAATCCTTCGGGTTTTTCAATAAAGTAGTTGATGTTTCCTTTTACATTTCAAATCTAATATTGTTTTTGTCTTCTTCCATTTACTCAAGTTTTGAAAGCCAAATAAAATTCTATTTCCACATTTTAAGGAGGTTATTCTGAGAATTCTTAAGAGAACATTCTAAACTTCAATTTTTTTTCTTTATAGAAACATTTTTGCTTTCAATTCTTCATTTAACCTGAATATATTCATCCTTGATTACCAAAGAGATAAAATTCTGGAGATGATCAAATAAACGATTTATTTATTCATTTACAAATTTCTGTATACAAGGTGCATACCAGAAGTTTTGGGACATTTTAGGAGAGGCAGTACAAAACAGAATACAGAATAATTTTGTTACAAAGAAGAGAATACTGAAATGTTATGTAATAACAATCCTCCTTCATGTCAGTGAATCCTGGAAAATCTGCTCATAGATGACAAAGAAGTTACTTAAAGATATTTGTTCTACAGAAGGATACTGAGAATACCATGGACTGTTCTAGAGACAACAGAAAAAGAAAAGATAGTTATACTTAATATCAGAAAACATTAGTTGAAATTTCAAGGGTACACAATGAGGAAAGAGAGATTGGGAAATTTGATACTCACAGGTCAGATTGAAAGCAAGAGGAAAGCAATGCATAACCTATCGAGCTAGCTTGAGTCAATGAGGGTGATTCAGGGTTTGGGAGAGATAGCAAAAAGACAAAATTTATTAAGAAGTACAAAGAACAGGAAATTGTGGAGAGCCATGATCACCAACACCTTAAAGGGATGCAACACCTAGAAAAAGATAAAGTATTTGCTTGTGTAAATGTTTAGCAGAACAAAGATTGGAAGATATAGTAAAAAGACAAAATTTACTAAGAGCTACAAAGGACAGGAAATTGTGGAGAGCCATCATCATCAACATCCTGAATGAACACTGTACAGAAGAAGTTATAACTGTCCTAGATTTTAGCATATCATTACTATATGTCTAATAAATTGATCTGCCAACTTTTGTGATTCCAGATTGAAGGAGACGGATGTAACAGGTCTTTGAACACACCCTGCCAAACATTGCTTGTCACAGCTATTTTGCAGAATTCAGTCAGGATGTGAAGACAGTTTGGAAGCTGACTATAAAACACTACAGAAACTTATGAAATGTTCCAGACTGCTTATGGATTAACTTCTATGAGTCATACAGCTGTTTTTAGCTGGCACATGATGTTCAAGGAGAGTAGAGAGGAGGTGAGAGATGATGAAAGATGTGAGGAAAGAGAGGGACATCAGAAAATCAGGCTTGATTTTAAAATGTCAGTAAAGAGATATTAGGTTGAGTCATAAATAATTTCAGTTTTTGCTTATCCCAAAACGGGCCTGTATAGCCAGGCAACAATGCTATAATGATTCAGCAGTAAAAATGTTAATTTATCTAATTTATACCTAATAACTGTTGATATCCACTGGCAGAAATAGGTTTAAGACCAATGGTTAAAGTTTTATTCATTTCAGAATATGTTTCTAATAAAACAATATAAATTAGTTTTATTTTGTATGCATTATGCCGAGTTTATTTCTCTTTCGAATAATGTAACTTGAGGCGATGTAATGGTTAGCAAGCTTGTCTCACTAGAACAATTACAACTGAGTAGTGAGTTCGATCCTCACTGGGTGCCCATACTTTCGGCCTTGTGCCACATCTAAGCTACGCTTGGAAAATCACTGGTAGCTGTATTAAGTTACAGTCAACGCCATCTGTCAAACTCAGACACTTTCCAAAGGTGCCACATGCTGGGATCGACCCTTCTAGTCCAATAACATCAGGAACCCGGACGAAGCTTTGCCGAAGGGCAAGGTTTTGTTCGGGGAGGTTATGACAGCTCTCGAACTCGCCTAGGCGAGTCGAAGGCTATATTTTTGGCCAGGCCTACGGGCTTGGGTGACCACGTAAAACTTGGCCTTGTGCCACATGCAAGCCCACGTGGGGTGGGGGCAGCTAAATATTGTAAAAAGTGTATATTTTTCTACAACTTGAAAAATTTTAATGCTGGATTAATTTAAATTATCCAAATTTGCCAACAGAATAAGTTTAAGATTGCACAGGTATCATTATATTTAAAGCAAAAAGTTATAGTAAAAACACAAAAAAAAAAGAAATAATAATATAATACCCATGTGGTCTTAAACTTATTTTACCAGCAAATTCTAACCATTAGACCTGGGTTCAAATCTCACCATGGTCGATTTGTCAGGAAGGAAACTTCCTGATGTTATTGGACTAGAAGGGTCGATCCCAGCATGTGGCACCTTTGGAAAGCGTCTGAAAACCAAACCATGGGTTGACCCAAGCCTTGTGAGTGAAATTGGGTGGACAGAACCTTTGGGGGCTGTCAATAATTGTGCTAGCATGAAATCAGGAAGTTACAAGTCAGGGTTTGAGCATGCTGGCCTTGTTCAAATTGCTGATCATGCTGGATAACACACTCTTTCCCAGAAACTGTAACTAAGGTCAGCTCAGCATAGTTGCAGTATAAACCACAAGTGGGCTCTGTGGGTGTTGAATAAACACATATGTGCCTGAGCAAGTGTCTGCAATAGGGATTGGCAAACCACCCTAGTGAAAAGGTATACTTGAATAGGAGTGGCCAGCTATATATATACATCTGGAAACATTATGTGCAAAGTCACTTAATTTTAAGGACATCATGGCAGTGGTTATTAGAATAAAACTTTATACTGTCAAGAGGCCTAAATATAAAATTTTTACATCATTTGAAAGAGAAATAAATTCTACATAAAACGTACACAATAAAACTAATTTATATTGTTTTATTAGAAACATATTCTGAAATGAATAAAACTTTAACCATCGTTCTTAAAATTATTTTCTCCAGTGTATGTATTTTTTCTCATAAGATTAGGTTTAGTCATGAATAATTTCTGTTTTTGTTCATCAACTTTATTTTTTGAAAAAATAAAACAGTATAACTTTTTATTTAATTGTATATATGTCATTATATGTGATGAGGTGTTGCCACTATTCAGGCGTTCTGCAGGTTTTGATGAGAAGTTTTTGATGCATTCTTGAATCTGGTTTTCATTAGAGAAAGGTTTTTCCCTATCAAAGCGTTTTGCAGGAATCAAAGAAAGTAATAATTGATTGATTCAAGATCAGATGAATATGTATTATTCTAGCTGTAGGTAAGTTGGTGTCATCATGGAAATAAACAACATTCTGCACTTTAATTCCCAGTGTTCGCTGCCACTGCTGTAAGACTCTTGGATATGGTTTTTATTAGAGAATTTTTTCCCAATCAAAGACAGAGTTTTGTTGCAATCAAAAAAGGTAATAATCTGTTGCTGCAAGGTCAAGATGGGTAAAACAGGTCAACTGAGTTATAAATTTTTTTCTTGTGTGTTTCTTGCTATACACTGCCTTGCATTGTCCTGGAAAAGAGCATTTTTCCTGTTGACAAGTGCAGAGAGATTTTCAATCAAACTTTTATGAACATGTTGCAGCTGCTGGTTATATAAATGTGCATTTAGTGTTTCATTGCTTTTAGGAGATCTAAATGAATAATAAACACATATTACATTTCTTGGAATTTGGCTTTCGGTGTTGGTCATGGAAAGTCATCCTTGTCAATCCATTACCTTCCATTTTGAACATCATCATAGTTAACTCCTTTTTCATTGCTTCTTTTTTGTTTCTTTTTACCCCATGCAAGGCAATAAAGCCATTAAGACACAGGGGTTACACGGTGTGGAACAATTAGAAAGAGAAACATTACTATTGAATGGGAGCAAAAAGAATAATCAGGAAGAAATTATATAGCAATTGACATTATATTTAAATTTTTGAAGATTGACGTTGGCTGGTAAGCATGGAGTCAGAAGGGAGTTCCACAAATGAGAAGTGTGACAAAAGAAACTGTTAACAGTTACATCTAGCTAACTCAACAGTAAATTGATGAGAACTTGAAACCAATCTAGTACTGCGCTTAAATTCCAAAAGTCTTGGTACTATAGTGAAGAGCTCATCTGAACAATTACCATAAAGTATTTATAGAAAAAGCACAGGAAGGCAACCTTAACATGATATATTTCAGGAACAAGTTATTTCTCGGTTGTTAAAGGTGTCTTGTTGCTATGGATAAAGGATCTTCTTTGTTTTCCCTGAGCGTGCTTGGAACCAAAACAGCCAGTTTGGCAAATGGTAGATTGTGCTGTATTTAATATGTTTGCTAATTCTCAAATAATTTGCTGCAAATTGCTTTCCAATGATAACTTTTTCATCATAGTAATGAATAGTAATGAATGTAATGGTCTAAGCCCATTTTTCCAACGTGGGGCAATTTGATTTTTAAGGGGGGAAATTTGTGAATGAGTTATTAACAGCAATTTTTTTTTTCTTTGTCTCACTTGATTTCCATTTTGACTCTAAGCGTTTTTCTCTCACTCTCTGTCTTTTCCTTTTCACTCTCCCTTTCTCTCTCTCTCTCTTTGCTTCTTCTCTTTCTCGTTGCTTCTTTCCTTCCTCTCTCTGTCTCTGCTTCTTCCCTTTTTCACTCTCTCTGCTTCTTTCCTTTCTCTCTCTCTCTCTGCTTCTTTCCTTTCTCTCTCTCTCTCTGCTTCTTCCCTTTCTCTCTCTCTCTCTCTGCTTCTTCCCTTTCTCTCTCTCTCTCTCTGCTTCTTCCCTTTCTCTCTCTCTCTCTGCTTCTTCCCTTTCTCTCTCTCTCTCTGCTTCTTCCCTTTCTCTCTCTCTCTCTCTGCTTCTTCCCTTTCTCTCTCTCTCTCTGCTTCTTCCCTTTCTCACTCTCTGCTTCTTCCCTTTCTCACTCTCTGCTTCTTCCCTTTCTCACTCTCTGCTTCTTCCCTTTCTCCTCCCTGCTTCTTCCTTTCTCTCCCTCTCTCTCTCTGCTTCTTCTCTTTCTCTCCCTTTTTCTCTCCACTTATTCCCTTTCTCTCTCCACTTATTCCCTTTCTCTCTCTCTCTGTGAATCTGTGTGACTATTACTCCGTGTGCAAGTTAATACATATGGTGCATATACAGTAGGCATACAAAAAAATATTTGTGTGTATACATGTACATTGTGTCATTACATATGTACTATATATAATATATACCGGGTGTAACAGCAAAATTGTTCAAATCCTGTAACAACTAATTTGTCCAATTTTTAGATTAAGCTTTGAACCATTGTATCTTGGAAATGATTAAAGATATCTTACTGGAATTCTCCACAGTTTTTGTAAAACTATTAGATTTTACTTTGAACCATAAGGAAATATTTAGCTCTAAGTTGAAATGATGATTCCTCTTCCTGTTGGGACCTCCTGACCCAGTTTTCCTCTCTACTCTTTTTTAAACTTGACGACCATCCTCTTGATGGTTCTCGAATGGACTTTGCAGATGGAAGCCAGAGTATGAATGTTAGTGCCATTACTGAAGACCTGAATGATCTTTTCCTCTTACCATTGCTCACTTCAGAAGACATAGTTGATATAAAATGATTTTAACCTGTTCTTTTTCTAGTTGAATAACTCAAAGGTTTTTTTCAGTGATTCTTATGAAAAATGGTGTCTAGATAGCTAAACTTCTTATCTGAAAACCTGGTAAAAGAAACTCAATTAGTTTAGTGTTTTTTAGATATTAAAGATTTTGTGGGATGCACAATAACTCCATGCCGTTACGCGATTTGGACAATTTTGCTGTTACACCCGGTATATATTTATATTAGTAACATACTATTTTTTATAAATATTGTAAAATTCTAAAATTAAATATTGATACTATTGCATATGTGCAGTCTCAAGTTCCTATGGAAAGTTAAGTTAATGGCCTTTTAGGCTTCCTCCATGTAAATAGTTCTTTTTTTGAATAATAAGAATTATGTCACGAGGGGGAGGCATCAGCATTTTAGGGATGCTTAGGATGAGCATGGCCAAATAATGGTTGGGAATTACTGGTCTAGGCTTTTCTTCTAATGATGTTTCTCCAAGACCCAAACTTGCAAACAGATTTTGGTTTGTTTTCTCTTTTTCCTTGTAATTTCCATTTTTCTTCTCTCTTTTTCTATTTTCTGCTTGCTTCTCTCTTTTTTTCTTTTTTCTTCTTTCTTCTACTTGCTACTCTTTCTTTTCTCTACCTACTCTTCTCTCTTTTTCTTTACTCTTCTCTCTTTCTTTCTTTTCTCTGCTTGCTTCTTTTATTCTTTCTTTTTTTTCTGCTTGTTTCTCTCTTTCTTTCTTTTGCATCCTTTACTTCTCTCATTTTGTACTTGTCTTTCTCTTTATATTCTCTATTCAGTTCTTTCTTTCTTTTTCTTGTCTCTCTCTTTCAGTTGTCTACTTCTTCTGTCTATCTTTTTGATTCCTCTATTTCTATCTTTGCTTCTCTCTCAAACTTAAATTTTCTCTACCACCACTTTAAATGACCCATTTTAATTTTTTAAAAAGTTAATTTACTTCTTCTAGCCAGAGACACTATCATACAACATCCTCAGTATATGTAATATCGGACCCAAAACTAACTTCCTGTAAGCAATTACTACTACTGTTTTTTCAGCCTAAGTAGCAACAATCAGTATGTCTCTGAGTAGAGTCATTAACATATCCAACATAATTTGGATTCTCAAATCTCTTTTAAGGTACTCATTTGTATGTTCAAATAATGGTTTTTGTTATTCCAATATGCCTTTGGAATTTGGTGTCGCGTTGATATTAAAAAAATTCACTCTTTCAAGTCGGCTGTAAGAAAACCTGTTTTCCCAGATTAAACAAATGTAAGTTTGAGTCTTAGCATGTGTTTATTTTTTTAATTTCCAATCCGAGATATTTCTGTAATATCTGAATATTTCTGTCAAAATTAAACTAAACTTATGATGTAAGACAAGTCAAAAATTAATAATAATTGAAAATACTAATGGTTATATTAGCTGTTTCCTTATAAGGAAACACTTTGCATTTATTGACCGAGCAGCCAGTGCTACTGTCGGTTGACATTAATAAAATCTTCCAGTTTGGATGTTAAAATTTGACTCTTGCAAAACTTCATAACCTTATCATATCCATTTTTATACTAGTACACTTTCTGTGAATAGTCCATGCATAATCGTATATCCGTGTTCAAAAATGGTGCTTTCCTTCAAAAGCATGTAAATGACAACTAAATGACAAGCTTCAGCACCATCATGATGGTAAAACTAGTTCACACTTCTTTGCTCCTTTTGATTCAATATTGATATAACACAGAATGGCAAGATTAATAAACATTAATATGTATTAATAAACATCTTCCCCAGTTTTGATGAATAAAGAATGAAAATAAATCATACTACAATCAAAGATGTTGGAATTTTTTAAGTATCTGTCTATATTTCTGAGATGATGTATTATATAAACTATTTACATTATTTGGACTATTGTCCTCATCTTTGTCGCCATATTTCTTATGTTTCAGACATTGTACACTCCGGCCTTCTTCAGGTGGTTGGAATGTTGAACTGAACCCTTTATTTCGCTCACTGGGGTAAACTTTTCTAGTTCAATGTGCCATGTTTTTAATGGATGTCAGTTAATTCCACTCTCCAAGTTCTCCACTGCCTTAACCGGGTATTGAATTCACACTGAGTCCTGTCACTGGATCTAACCAACACCTTTATCTACTGTGCCATGTGTCCTTGAGGACATCTGTGTATGAATTTCTGCATATTATAAACCTAATGTCTTCAGCAACCATTTTTTACCAATGCTCATATTGCAATTTTTGCTGTTATCATTACATGTTTTACCAGAGCTCATATTGCAATTTTTGTTGTTGTTGTTATCACTTTTCTCTGGCACAAAAAATTGCAATATGAGCACTGGTAAAAAAAAACTGGTTGCTGAAGACATTAGTTTTATAATACCCAGAAATCCATACACAGATGTCCTCAAGGACACGTGGCACAGTGGATAAAGTTGTTGGTTAGATCCAGTGACAGGACCCAAACAGTGTCAGTTCAATACCTGGTTAAGGCGGTGGAGAACTTGGAGAGGGGAATTAACAGGAGATAAGTGATAACTGACATCCATTAAAAACATGGCATGTGGAACTAGAATAGTCTACCACAGTGAATGAAATAAAGGGTTCAGTTCAACATTGCAACCATCTGAAGAAGTCCGAAGCGTACAACGGCCAAAACGTAATAAATATGGCGACAAAGATGAGGACAATAGTCCAAATAATGTAAATAATGCAATTTAAGTTTTAAGTTTACAGACGGCTTGCTACTTGCAGATTTTTGAACTAGCTTGAAAATAGCAGGAGGGTTTCTGTTGAAGATGTTTATCTAAACTGGGTTATTATTACCAGGATTTCTGAATGGACGATAGATTTCATTATCAAGGTTAAAGATAACATTAAAAAAAATCTACTTTTTCGAGTCACTTTCAGTTTAGATGTTAAAGCTTGATTCTTTAAAAATTTCATAACCAAAAGGTTACCAGTACATTTTCTGTAAACAATCAGTGTCATCTCTGCATAATCCAATATCCTTCTTCAAAAATTTGCTTTCCTTCAAAAGCAAGTAAATGACAACTAACCTTCAAAATTCAGCACCATCATGGCTGCTGTTGACAGCATTAATGAATACTGGTTCACACCTCTTTGCCCATACTGATTTTATATGATATAACACTGACTTTCAAGATTTGTGTAAGTGCCAATGAATTAAGAAACATCTTTATCAGTTTTTGTCTTGTGATGAATAGATGATTAAAGCAAACTGTTCTTCCATTTCTTTTGCATATCAGCTTTCTGCTTTCTTGCATTATTTTATAAAGCAACTGCATATTCAATTTTCAATTGATCAAATATCTTGGAATTTTTTAAGTTTACAGACTGCCTGCCACTTGCTGATTTTTTAACTAGCTTCAAAGTAGTTGTACAAGTTGCTTATCTAAATTGGGTTATTACCTAGCTTTCTGAATGGAAGATAAACTCCATAATAAAGGTTAAAGGTAACATCCAAGAAATTCACTTCTTTCAACTTTCAGTTTGAATGTTAAAACCCAACTCTTCGAAAACTTTCATAACCTCTTTCCTGATGATATCAATTTTTCTACCATTACTCTTTCCGTGGAGCATCAGTCAGTCATCTCTGTGTAATCCAATATTCTCCTCCATCAAAAATTCACTTACGTTCGAGAGCAAGTTAATGCTGACCAATTCGCAAAACCTCAGCACCATTATGGCTGCCAATGATAACATTAGTTCAGACTTGTTCACCTCTCCTTATCCATACAAATTCTCTCTATGATATAACGCTGACTTGGAGCAATGCTTAATGATTTTTATCTGGTCATCTGAAAAATTAGTATGTGCACATGCCACAGCAATGCAAGGCACCTGTCGATAAAAATTTGTTACTCATTCAGTAATGCAATTTTGTCTATTCTAATAGTTTCTTCTCTTGTCTTTCTCCCCTGTGGAACAGTCCACTGGCTTCTGGCATTCCTGTTAATGACAATCTTCAAAATTTAAATGCAATGTCATTTACTGTCTTTTTGCATTCAGTTCTTTTACTCTCCTCTCTACTCAAAGTTTTATCTCTTTCTTTCTTGCTTTCTAGCCACCTGCATCTTAGTGACTTTATTGCCTTACTTGGGGGTGAAATATTTAAAAAAACTACTTGAAACTAAAGAGAAAAAAGTAGAATGAGAAGAAAGAAAAAAGTAAAAGAAATTGATTTTATTGAAGCAAAGAAAGAAAGAAAAAGAAAGGTTTAGTGGAGCTAAAAAAAAGGGAAAAAAGAAAGAAAAATGGTTGGTTGATTTTAGTGGAGCAGTGTTGGGAAGAAATGGTTAATGGGTTGATTTTAGTGGAGCGGTGTAGGGAAAAAGAAAGAAAGGTTGATTTTAGTGGAGTGGTGTAGGGAAAAAGAAAGAAAGGTTGATTTTAGTGGAGTGGTGTAGGGAAAAAGAAAGAAATGTTGATTTTAGTGGAGTGGTGTAGGGA